ATTGTGGCAAAAAAAGAAAAAGAAAACAGTATTTTAGTTTTCTGGTTGCTAGGGCCATAGATGGAGAGAATTTTATGACTACTTCCCAAAGCTTATATTCTGAAAGAAGGTTCATTTTTAATATAGAAATAATAAAAATGTAGGTGGCCTCAACAGCTGTAATTTTTATAAATTACAGAGATGCCTTCTGCCAACATTTGAAATTGGCATTCTGCACAGCCAAAAACTCTGATCTTCACTGTTATCTAATTTGGGATTTTAGCTACTATTTCCAGGCTATTAACCTCCACATCTGGACTCCCAGTAACCCCACATCAGGATGCCACAGCTGCTTCAGTATTGATCAGCGGCGTGCTCTTCCCTAACAGGTGATAAATTTATTAGTAACCATCCGGGCTGCCCCAGCTTTAGGCAATTGTCTCCTTAAGAATTATAGTATTTATTCATTGGAGGATAATAAGACAAGGGAAGAAGTCAAATAATTTTGCCTATAATTTGTAGCGGTTTCATACAGAGCTATGCTTTACAGAGAAAAGAGCCTGCAGTTCAGCTATTATATAACGTCCCCTACTTTGCATAAGACATGGTGAATAATTTTTTTTACAAGATGCACTTTATTTATGAGCAGGTCCCTCCATAGAAAGAGCTTGTTAGGGCTTAATGCTGATGAATGGAGACAGCACCATTCACACTTCCAGGTTATGGTCTGTCAGTGGTTTCATTATATGCACTAATTTACAAGGATTTATTTATTTTCTCACAAATGTAAAAATGTGCTCCAAGCTAAACATGCTGTCTTGGCGCCTGAGCCTAATGTTTTACTTGATGGAGGTGGTGGTATGGGGACTCAAGCTGTCATGTGCCATTCTTCCCACCTCCACCCCCACCCACCCTGCATCATTGCCTAACTTTGTGGTTATATGAGAGATCCATATTGTTTTGCTTGCTCTAAAAATGAATACTGGTGAAAATTTTAAACCCTGGATGTGGTTCTCTCAATGAAGTTTAATTCCTTTCTTATCCAAAAGCTGTGCCTTCAATTGTGTAAGTGCTAACGAAAATGCTGTCAGTAACACATCAATAGATGTGGCCATTGGAACAAATTATGACCACAACATTGGCCACAAAATTTTGGAAAGCTGGGTACAATGTCCCCCCAAAATAAAATTCAATGGATTCTGCAGGTTTTGCTAGCCCCAGATGGCTTTATGTGATCTGAAATCACTCACATCACTATCTCTGAAGAATAAAGCTTAAAATATACTGGACATGGACCACCTCCTCCTACTCAGTCTAACAGACAGTAATAGATCATACTGTATCATCAACATCCCTGCACTATACCAGTCCACCTTATGGGAGGAAAACCACCCCCCTCAAGTAATGGCAAAAATAATTATTTTTCCTGCCTGGAATTTTAAATTTGGTTTTTAACCTCAGTGAAAATTAAATACCCCTTAAACCTCACCAGTGACGAGTTTATAAAACTAGTTGTTTGGGGAGTGTGTGTGTGTGTGTGTGTGTGTGTGTTAGTTCATATGTTGCTTGGTTGGTTGGTTGGTTGGTTGGTGAAGGAAATGAAAAATATATACATATAAAATATGCCCAGTACATTAATAAGCATCTATCACACAGTCTCTCAAAGCTCTTTTTACAATTTCTTTTTCAACTCCAAATGTAAGTGTAATTCAATCAAATTTAATTAGAGTCTCAAGGAAAAAGGAGTATTTTAGAAATTGGACCACGATAAAAGAATTTGCTATACAACTATATGTAAAGAGAGTATCCTACAAACTGTCTGTCAAATAAGCCCTGAAGGCCAATAGTGAGTATTTAATAAACATCATCTGTGGAATTCAACTGGCAGGAACAGAGGGAGCAGTTCACCGTATTTAGAAGTTCACAAAAATGAAAAGTGGGGAACCATGTGAACTCTAGGATTATCATCTCTGAATCAATACAAACTTCACCCTGATAGGTTGACATGTATAGTGATCAATTAACAGAGTTGTCCTTCTTGGTGTCCACATAACAATGTAGGACCTCCAATGGATTCAGTAGGAATCCATCTCTTTATATCTTTGTGAATCTGTTCCATTTTTCAGGAGATTAGATTCTCTACGTGTACTACCTCCCACTTAATAAGTATTATTCTTAGTTTTGTTTTCCACGTACTTGGATTATTTGTCCTTTGGCCCTCACAACACTTGGCATAGTGACATTCAGTATGTGTTTGGTAAAGATTCATAATTTCATGCACTTTAAGCCGTCTACTCTCAGCCTCTCTCTCTCCAGACTGGAGTCTTGATCTTTCAGTGCATCTTCTTATGACAGCCACAATTTACATTTCATACTCAGTGATATTTATATGGAGGTCACAAAAGGTGATCTCAAATTATAGGCCTGCCACAAGCCAGACAGAATTCTAGACATTCAAGAAATTGATTTTACCAAAACAAAAATAAAAAGTATAGGTACTGCCTGGTCAGTGTGGCTCAGTGGTTGAGTGTCGAGCTATGAACCAGGAGGTCATGGTTTAATTCCCCATCAGGGGACATGCCCGGGTTGTGGGCTCAATCCCCGGTGTGGGGAGTGCAGGAGGCAGCCCATCAATGATTCTCTCTCATCACTGATGTTTCTATCTCTGTCTTCCTTTCCCTTCCTCTCTGAAATCAATAAAAATATATATTTTTTTTAAAGTAGAGGTACCTCCTTGGTTCATCCTCAGTCCAAATGTTCTGGAGATAAAAGAAATATTCATGTGTCACCATCCTAGGACCTAGCCCAATCTTCAAAGTCTTTTTACAAACCTCCTTAAAGGTCCTTATGTCTCTGAAAATCATAAAGGGATTTATTGGCATGAACTTCCCCTTGTTTGGACATGCTGGTTTCCTTGGAGAACTCACCAAAACATAAATGACTTTAGAGGCATTCTGGGAAAGTTAAAACGAATCTGTAGCTTTTATAGATGATAAGGATTAATACTTCATGAGGAGCATCAGGATTAATCAAAGTACACCATAAAGCCAAGTCTTAATATTAAACTCCTGCCAACAAATTAGCTCATCTAAAAGCAGTTTATTAAGTTGGGTTTATAAACTGTCCTTAGATGAGTTCACTTTTTGCCAGGAAAAGTATTATGCCTGTATATATGTGTTAAAAGGACATGCTTCTTATCACAGATGTTCCTAACTTTTAACATACATTCTAAGATGGGAAAAGAAAACTGTAGACTAGTTTTAAAGTAATGCCGTGTGGTTATTTTCAAGAGCACTATCAAAAGCACTAAGGGAAGCAGGAGTTGAACCATATGTTCTTTATGTGTCAGACACTTTTTAAATGTATTATTTCATATGACACTTATAACAACCTAGGCTTGAGTAACCAACTCATCCCAGTTTGTCTAGGACTGTCCCAGTTTTAAAACTGAACCCTGCCTCAGTCCCAGACAAACCAGGACAGTTGGTCACCTTACCTAAGTAAGGCAGTAAAAGGTGTCCTAAAACCAATTTCCAGTGTGGAGGGGGTAGGGGTGGGTGGGTTTCCATATCACCAACAAGCAATTCTTGGACACCAGCTAGGTGTCCTACAATTTCACTCAATTCTGATACTATCTACCTGGAGATAGTGTCAGATATCAGTCTCAAGTCCAGGTTGTCACTTGTGCTTGTGACTGGCTGGACTATAAATCAAAGGTTCCAACAACCCCCAATGTGTGCTCTATTAGTTTGCTCGAGTGACTCACAGAATTCAGAGCAACATTTTACTTACTGGATCACCAGTTTATTATAAAAAGATATAATACAGGAACAGCCAGATGGAAGAGATGCATAAGGCAAGATGTGGGGAAAGGGCAAGGAGCTCCCATGCCCTCTCAGAGTGAGCCACTCTCTCCAACTCACCACATGTTCACACAACCCATAAGCTCTCTGAGCCATGTCTTTTGGGATTTTTGTGGAGGCTTCATTACATAGACCCAACTGATTAAATCATTGGCCCTCATTCTCCAACCCTCTAATCACAAGGTTGGCTCCACTGGCAACCAACCCATATTTAGGTGAGGCTAAAAATTAGCTCATTAGCATAACAAAACGCCTTTATCTCTCACCACTTAGTCAATTCCAAGAGATTTAGGTGCTCTTTGTTAGAAATAGGAACAAAAACAAATCACAATGTCATAGGCAGGTAATCTTTTCCATATTTTACTAAAGAAGAGGCTGAAATTTGGAGAGACAAATTTCTCCATCAGGCACACATTGGTTATAAGTGGTGTATTCAGTATTAGAACCCTAGCTTTCTAACTGCTATTTTTATTTTATTTTCCAAGAAACCAGGCTGTAGTTAACACAGTATGTAAAAACTACTGTGAAAATTTTATTGGCTTTTATTTTTTTTCTAGAAGCTTAACCATTCCCTTTGTGACACCATAATTTTTCTCTCCAGCCCTCTCCCCCCTTAATAGGTATTACAGAGAAAAAAACTCAGTCCAGTTTATCAGGATTATTACAAACTCTTCGTTAACTGAGTGTGAATTGATGAAAAGAATGTTAATGCTTTCCAAGTCAGTTATTTCTAATTCAACTATGAAAATAAGCAAGTAGCCTATACATCTGTACCCCAAAAGAAATGTAATACATACTGCCTCCTGTGTCTTTTTGCATTTATCTTAAAGAAGGTTTTTTTATTTGTTCGTTTGTTTGTTTGTTTGGGGGGATGGTAAGCAAGTGTCAAGGGGGTGGGAATGTAAAACTGGACAACATAAAATTGTTAGACCTGGCTTTATCTCCACATGTTACATTTTGTCATTTCTTCTCAATACACAAAGAAGCAAATGTGTGCCCGAACAGACCCCTCCCATTACTGTCCTGGCCGTGCTGAGCAAAATTGAATCCATATGTCTTTAAAATGCTTTTCCATTTCTACAGCTTCTTTTAAATTCCTGATCTTGGTGCAAATGTGGCCCGCTAGCCTCCTAATGCTCATTTGCTCTTTCCCAACAGGCATCACAGTTGATAGGCATGGATTCATTTACTTTGTGGATGGGACTATGATTCGGAAAATTGATGAAAATGCTGTGATCTCCACTGTAATCGGCTCAAATGGTCTGACTTCCACACAGCCACTGAGCTGTGACTCAGGAATGGACATCACTCAGGTAGGCGCCACTGGTTTTTAAGTGTTATCACCATTTGGCATCATGGAAATGAATAACCATTTTCTCGTACAGAAATTAGGTAGAAAGGAAGCCTGGGGTATCTGTTATAACATCAGACAACAGAAGTTTTGCCTTATGTAAGTTACTTTTTCTGCTCAGAAAAACTCAGTTGGGAGAAAATGACAAGCTAGGATGGGAGTAAGGCTAGATGGAATGTCAGCATAAGAATTAACGTCTCTCAAATTTGAATCAATTAGAGGGTAAGGCCAATCTCATTTAGTAAATATTTTCCTAGATACATAACTTTATTATTTTTAAATAACACAGTATCTCACATTTGGGAAAGTACTGACTACTAAAGTCTTTAGACATCTCTTTAAATGAATATATGAGCATGACTTGTTATTTATGTGCCTGTAAATAGCTATTTCTAGGGCATTTGAAATTTCTCTTAAGTAAAAACAACATTCCCTCCAAGATCTATTTTACGTATATTTAGGAAAGCTTTATGCCAGTGAGAATAAATAAGCAAATTCAGTGTTGCTCTCATCTGAGTCCAAAATTCTGATTTTACCACAATTGTACAAAATCAGGATTAAACATGTGGAGAGATTATAGAGCATACAGCACAGACCTAACTGCCTGGGAATAACCTTCTCAGTCTTCAGACACAAGAGGTTGGTATTTAAAATGAGGGAAATATCCCTACCAGCACAGCTCAGTGGTTGAGCATTGAGAGGTCACAGTTCGATTCCCAGTCAGAGCACATGCCTGGGTTGCAGGCTCAATCCCCAATGTGGGGCGTGCAGGAGGCAGCCAATCAATGATTCTCTCTCATCATTGATATTTCTATCTCTCTCTCCCTTTCCCTTCCTCTGTGAAATCGATAAAAATACATAAAAATGTTTAAAAAATAAATTAATTAAATAAAATTAAAGAAATAGACCAGTCATCCTCACAGGGCCCTTTAAACTCTAATATTCCATAAATCTATGACTTTGATGAAGTAGATTATTAGATAATCTTTTCAAATGAATTAGAGTAGAAATTGAGTTTTAAAATTGGTTAGTGTATCAGAGTGGATGGTTTTGATGACAAATAATAAAGCACCTATCTAAAAGTAGTTTAAACAATAAGGTTTAATTATCCCACATAGTGAGATGACCACAGGTAGGCGAAGATGCCAGCAGATTTTCTTCATGTGTCACAGTGGACAGAATCAAGTCACTTACCCATGCCATCACCAGTCACTGGCAAAGAGGAAATGAGATCTCCAAAATGGATTCAGACCCTCTGGCATTGGGTCACTGTCCCTGAGCACATTGCTACCTAATTCTTGAACCAAAATCAGGGCTCTATTAGCAAAGAAAGGATTGCTGTTGGGTAGGCAGCCGGTGATATCCTCCACAATTAAGATATTCCTATTGCTTCATTATTCATGCCACCTGAAACCTAACATAACAAGGAAAAGAAGTGATCACCCAGAAACCTTGCTTTAGTCATTAATTCTAATATTCTCTCCCATATCCACCCGCCATACATACACAACGCTATTAAACACCAGAGATGTGTCTATTTGGGGGTTTCTTCTCTATGTACCTCTGCCTTACCCCAGAAACTCAGAAAATAGTCAAATAGAGTCAACTATAAAAATAAAATGGGAATTGGGAGGCTTGGGAAACACAATGAATGAACCATTCTTAGTGAGGGATTTGAGTGGATCAGGCTATCAAGACCCAAAGTAGCCGAAATTTCTATGATGCAAAATCCAGAATAAGGCAAGGAAAAGGAGCATGATTTATGGCAGTAAGGAAGGGTGTGAATGTGTTTTTGTGGAGGATGGAGATGAAAGAGAGAAGATACACATATATGATTCACTTGTGGGATATTTTTAACTTAAAATAGCACGCTTAGAATTGCAACCAGTCAACTCTAAACAGCTTATCTGTTTCTGTGTAGAAAAGTTACGCTGAACAGAGAATTCTTCATCTAAATAGAGCAAATATATGATCCTCATCACCATGAGAAGGGTTATTTTTCACATGACACTTTGCAAGCCATCACTGCCACCATAAAAGTGACCGTGTCTCTTTCAGTTTGGGATGTAGAGTGCAGCCCATTGAAAAAGGGCCCTGGAAAAACCATCATTCCCTATCCTATGCTTAAAGCACCCTAAAGAGTGACTAGAATTTTTCCTGTTGGGATTTCAGAGAACAAGGAGTCCATACTGATCGCTACCTCAGTGTCCAGATTATGACCCCCACCCTTATCAGGGGCTTGCTTCTCACAGCTCCATTCACTCAGTCCATAATTACCTCTCTTGGTCCAAATCCCACTCCCCACCCTTGTCACACCTCATATGTTCCATGGGAACCTTCCTTGATGGTTCTAGCCCTCATTGTTGTCTCATTCCCTTACTGAAATTTAGTATCACTACATTTAATATGTAATCTGATCTCTATTACCCAACTGTGTGTCCAACTAATCTCCCATAGTAGACTGCATTTTCTTTGAACATGCATATAAGTGCTCACCAGGCACAGTTAACATATATACCAATACCAAAAGGACACTATGGTACAAAGAATATGGAGCAGTAGTGAGAGATAAAGCTAGTGAGCTAAGGGGAAGCATATGATGAAGGACCTTAAAAGCATGATTGAGTTTCAGTTTTATCCAGTGGACATGAGGAACAAATAATAGCATTAATCAAAGAAATGCATTTTTAAAATAGTATTAATCCTGGAAATGCCTTTTTCAAAAATCATTCTAACTGTAGTAGAGAGAATGAGGTGGGGAAAAAAAACAGTGTTAGAGGCAAGGAGATCACTTAAGAGTCAATTGAAGTAATATAGGTGTGACAGAGACAAAACATATCTATATTAATAAAAGAGAAAGATGCAAATTGACTGTCCCTCCACATGCCCACAAGCCATGCCCACCAGCCCATCAGGAGTGAGTATGCAAATTGACCTGACAAAGATGGTGAGTTAATTTGCATGCGCAGGTGTCAAGCGCCCCGGGAGGCAATGGTGGTCACGGGCTCCCGAGACCTTCGCCTGCCCCAGGAGGCGAGGCCGGCCATGCCTAGCCATGCCTGCGGGCTCCCAGGACCTTTGCAGGTGGAGAGCAGAGTGGGAGAGCGGGCAGAGAGCAGGAGGTTTGGAAGACTTGGCAAAGCAGGAGGTCGCTGGACATAGAGCAGAGCAAGAGAGAGGGTGGCTTGGAGGGCATGGCTCCCTCTGCCACCCCAGCTTCCTCATCACAGCTGTGGAAACTGACAGCAGGGAGGAGGAAGTCCCACCCCCACAGAATCAACCAGAATCAGCCGTTGGTCAGACAGCTCTCAATGGCCTGACAGCCAGGACTCTCATTCACCTGCATCTCAGACCGTGACAGTAGGGAGGTGGGACTATGTCTAAAGAACAACTCTTGATACAACGTAGCTCTGCAACCGAAAGATGCTGGTGTTATCAACAGAAAATGTCTGAAGAGCAATGTGCGTCTGATCTTGAAAGAAGGCGGTGCCTGCGACAGAATGTATCTGAACACCAGCTACTGGAAAAACATTGCTCTGATGCCAAAAAACACCTGCGTCATGGACAGAAAATGTCTAAAAACCAACATGACTTTGAAGTTGAAAAAAGGCGGTGGCGACGACAGAATATGTCTAGAGAACAGTCATCAACAAGTACTACCAATTCTGGTAGGAACTGCCTTCTTAGCAAAAATGGAGTACATGAGGATGCAATGCTCGAACATAGTTGTGGTGGAATGACTGTTCGATGTGAATTTTGCCTATCACTAAATTTCTCTGATGAAAAACCATCTGATGAGAAATTTACTCGATGTTGTAGCAAAGGGAAAGTCTGTCCAAATGATATATATTTTCCAGATTACCTGGCGTATTTTAAAAGATTAATGACAAACGAAGATTCTGACAGTAAAAATTTCATGGAAAATATTCGTTCCATAAATAGTTCTTGTGCTTTTGCTTCCATGGGTGCAAATATTGCATCGCCATCAGGATATGGGCCATACTGTTTTAGAATACACGGACAAATTTATCACTGTACTGGAACTTTACATCCTTTGGATGGTGTTTCTCGGAAGTTTGCTCAACTCTATATTTTGGATACAGCCAAAGCTACAAGTAAAATATAGTCAGCAATGCCAGAAAACCAGGGCTTCTCAGAAAGACTCATGATCAACATCAACAACCTCATGCATGAAATAAATGAATTAACAAAATCGTACAAGATGCTATATGAGGTAGAAAAGGAAGCCCAATCTGAAGCAGCAGCAGAAGGTATTGCTCCCACAGAGGTAACAATGGCGATTAAATACGATCCCAACAGTGACCCACGTAGATATAATTCTCCCCGTGTAACCGAGGTTGCTGTGATATTCAGAAATGAAGATGGAGAGCCTCCTTTTGAAAGGGACTTGCTCATTCATTGTAAACCAGATCCCAATAATCCAAATGCCACTAAAATGAAACAAATCAATATCCTGTTTCCTACATTAGATGCAATGACATATCCTATTCTTTTTCCACATGGTGAAAAAGGCTGGGGAACAGATATTGCATTAAGACTCAGAGACAACAGTGTAATCGACAATAATACTAGACAAAATGTAAGGACACGAGTCACACAAATGCAGTATTATGGATTTCATCTCTCTGTGAGGGACACGTTCAATCCTATTTTAAATGCAGGAAAATTAACTCAACAGTTTATCGTGGATTCATATTCAAATATGGAGGCCAATTAGATAAATTTCATCAAAGCAAACCAATCTAAGTTGAGAGTTGAAAAATATAGTGGTTTGATGGATTATCTCAAATCTAGATCTGAAAATGACAATGTGCCTATTGGTAAAATGATAATACTTCTATCATCTTTTGAGGGTAGTCCCAGAAATATGCAGCAGCAATATCAGGATGCTATGGCAATTGTAACAAAGTATGGCAAGCCCGATTTATTCGTAACCATAAC